GTATGGGTCAAAATTATAGATTTTTCTTTTATGCCAAAAATCATTAGGATATTAAGTAAAGATCATGTTCCATGAAGATATTTAGTAAATTTCCTACCATAAATATATCAAAACTTCATTTTTTATTAGCAATATGCATTGCTAAGAACTTAATTTGGACAATTTTAAAGGCGATTTTCTCAATATTTTGATTTTTTTGCACCCTCAGATTCCAGATTTTCAAATAGTTGTATCTCGGCCAAATATTGTCCGATCCTAACAAACCATACATCAATGGAAAGCCTGTTTATTCAGCTTGTTGAGATGTATAAATCTCAATTTCGAAAAATTGACACTTAAGACTGGTTTTGTGCTCCACTTATCTATTAATTATTGCACTTTAAGAAAATATAATGCATTAAAACATGTAACAAGAACTCCTCAAATATTTTAACGAATTACATCTTTGGTTACAATTATATATGAAAATATATAATGCATTACAACATACATGAATACCTTCATAATGCATCATGCATAAAGGCTTCAAGAAAAATTTTATGAAAAGCAACTTTGTATGTTCTCTGTTCAGTATTCCCTCATTGCCGGTCTTTCATCCCAACTGTTGTTCTATATGGCAGAAAGGGCAATAAAACCGGGGAAACAAAATTTGACGTCTCCGTTGACAATAAAGCATGCCCCTGTGCGAACAGAAAAGACGGAGTAAAGAGCACAAAGGACATCACTTGTTTGCTTCCTCACATCTTTGAGATAGACCCTCAGGCTCAAGTGACCTGGAGAAATGTAAGACACAATCGTAAACGGATCTGAACCCAAACACTACTGCATAAGACCAACATGCTAAAAATGACTAAACATCTTTAAAGGAATAGTTCATGCAAAACAATATTTTGATTTTTTTGCACCCTCAGATTCCAGATTTTCAAATAGTTGTATCTCGGCCAAATATTGTCCGATCCTAACAAACCATACATCAATGGAAAGCCTGTTTATTCAGCTTGTTGAGATGTATAAATCTCAATTTCGAAAAATTGACACTTAAGACTGGTTTTGTGCTCCAGGGTCACATATAATGCACTATAAAAGTAGTTTTAATGCATTCATTTTGCATTGTAGTTATAATACATTGCATGATCTCATTGCTATTTGTAACCACAGTTATAACACTTATCTATTAATTATTGCACTTTCAGAAAATATAATGCATTAAAACATGTAACAAGAACTCCTCAAATATTTTAACGAATTACATATTTGGTTACAATAATTTATGAAAATATATAATGCATTACAACATACATGAATACCTTCATAATGCATCATGCATAAAGGCTTCAAGAAAAATTTTATGAAAAGCAACTTTGTATGTTTTCTGTTCAGTATTCCCTCATTGCCGGTCTTTCATCCCAACTGTTGTTCTATATGGCAGAAAGGGCAATAAAACCGGGGAAACAAAATTTGACGTCTCCGTTGACAATAAAGCATGCCCCTGTGCGAACAGAAAAGACGGAGTAAAGAGCACAAAGGACATCACTTGTTTGCTTCCTCACATCTTTGAGATAGACCCTCAGGCTCAAGTGACCTGGAGAAATGTAAGACACAATCGTAAACGGATCTGAACCCAAACACTACTGCATAAGACCAACATGCTAAAAATGACTAAAAATCTTTAAAGGAATAGTTCATGCAAAACAATGAAAATTTGCTGAAAATGTCCTCACCCTCAGGCCATCCAAGATGTAGATGAGTTTGTTTGTTCATCATATTTGGAGAAATGTAGCATTGCATCAGTGTCTCAGCAATGGATCCTCTGCAGTGAATGGGTGCCGTCAGAATGAGAGTCCAAACAGCTGATAAAAACATCACAATAATCCACAAGTAATCCACACCACTCCAGTCCATCAGTTAACATCTTGACAAGACAAAAGCTGTGTGTTTGTAAGAAACAAATCCATGATCCATCATTAAGACATCTTTAACTTCAAACCATTGTTTAAATATGAGTCCTCTATCCATAATAACGCTTCCTCTAAATGAAAAAGTCATCTGGTCTGAATCAGGAGAGAAATCTGCACAGATCAAGCACCGTTTACAAGCCCAAACAGCTCTTAACAAATGTGGCTGGATTTTGATGTGAGAGACAACAAGAGATTACTTTTTCAGTGGAGGAAGCGTTATTATGGATTATGGACTCATATTTTAGCCGGAAGCGACGTTTTAAAGTTAAAAACATCTTAATGAAGGATTTATTTATTTTGTCTTCTCAAGACATAACTGATGGACTGGAGTGCTGTGGATTACTTGTGGATTATTGTGATGTTTTTATCAGCTGTTTGGACTCTCATTCTGACGGCACCCATTCACTGCAGAGCATCCATTGCTGAGACACTAATGCAATGCTACATTTCTCCAAATCTGATGAACAAACAAAATCACATCTTGGATGGCCTGAGGCTGAGTACAGGCAAATGTACGTGCATTTTCAGCAAGTTTTAATTTTTGGATGAACTCTTCCTTTAATGCTTCTCCTGTGGTTAATATTACTTTCATAAAAATAGCAAACATCAGACAAGGTTTTGTTCTGCAAGACACCAAAACATTGCTAAAGTCATCAATATGTCAAGCATTGTGGGTTTGTGAGTTCCTTACATACATGTAATTATAACCTTCACTTTCACATTTAAACATCGTCACTCCTAAATCCATGCATGTCTGTACGTGTACAGTACATTGTAATTGTTTTGTCTGCTAAACGGTTTGTTTTTCTCTCTCTTTAGAACTGCCACCCACTCAATGTGACAAACAGTAAGGTTTTCCCGCTAAACAGATCCCGAGACATGGTTGGACTCTATACGTGCTTTGTGAGCTTTACTTTTGGAGGGCAGAATTACTCTGCTGCCCAGACTACAGAAATCTACAGCCACTCTAAGGGTTATGGTAAATGACTATTTAAAATCTGAAAGGATTCTAGAGGCTCTGTTTCAAACCCTATAGTGAGTTGCATGCCTACTAGCTTAGTCTACTAGTATTATACACTCTGAGGGAACAAAAAGTATGGCCAGTACCTTAAGGTACAAAAGATAAAAAGGTACATCTTTCTGCCTTATTTAGCCCTAAATGGTTCACACACACACACACACACATATACATATATATATATATTATTTTATTTCAGCTAGTTGCTTTTCTTATTTTCATTCAGTTTAACTTGATGTTCTAAAATAAGTAAAATTGAAAACCTGAATAAAAATGTATTAATACTGTATAGACATATTCAAAAAAACTAATAAAAATAACAAAACCACACCACAATATTATTAAAACTTTAACTGAAATTAAAATGAAAATAAAATATATAAACTACTTCAAAATGCTAATAAAAACTATAATAGTATCTCAGTTATACTTAAATAACCCTGCTTAGAATCCATTGAGAAAATCATCTAGTCAACTACATTTGATCATAAAGATAAATAAATGCTTTATTAATATCCACTTTGGACCAAGAGATAGCAGTATAGAGCTGAAGTGAAAATGTTCAGATTGAGAGAGTTTCTGTGGTTTGATCAATAATGCGATAAATGTGTTTCGTTAACAGTGGTGACAAAGCCTGAAATCATCTACCCAAAAGAAGAAACACAAAAAGTAACACTTGGTGAGTGATAATGATGATATGTCATTTAAGCCCTTCTGCTGCTGTATGTGTGCATATAATTCTTATATGTGTTTTAAAAGAATAGTTCACCCAAAAATTAAAACAGTTTGCTCACCCTCAGGTCATCCAAGATTTGGATGAGTTTGTTTCTTCATCAGATTTGGAGAAATGTAGCATTGCATCAGTGTCTCAGCAATGGATGCTCTGCAGTGAATGGGTGCCGTCAGAATGAGAGTCCAAACAGCTGATAAAAACATCACAATAATCCACAAGTAATCCACACCACTCCAGTCCATCAGTTAACGTCTGGAGAAGACAAAAGCTGTGTGTTTGTAAGAAACAAATCCATCGTTAAGATGTTTTTAACTTTAAACTGTTGCTTCAGTCCAAGATACGAGTCCATATTCTATAACGCTTCCTCCAGTGAAAAAGTCATCTGGTCTGAATCAGGAGAGAAATCTGCACAGATCAAGCACTGTTTACAAGCCAAAACAGTTCAAAACAAATATGCGGCTGGATTTTGATGAGAGAGAAACCAGGATTTGGACCTTTTCACTGAAGGAAGCGTTATTATGGATTATGGGATTATTAAATGGATTATTTTAGCTGAAAGCAAAAGTTTGAAGTTAAAAACGTCTTAAATCTGATGAAGAAACAAACTACATCTTGGATGGCCTGAGGGGGAGTGCATTTGCATTTCCAAAACTAGCCCTAAGTTCAAGAAATGAATTGGAATTTCAATTCTGATCAAGCCTGATGTACATGAGCATGTGCAGTATGTGTTTGAAGAGCACAATAACGTTCATGTAATCAGGGGCGGATTTAATGATTTGGGGGCCCCAGGTTTACCACACATTTTCCTAGATCAGCCTTCAGGTTCCTTTTTTGTTGTGATGCTTGCTGCTGCACAATGGTGCCCCACAGTTGTGTCCAATGTTTCTACATTTTTCATGTACATGTTATAATGGCTTTCTTTCATGCTGTAGACCCCGAAATAGCAATTGATTTACAGTTTTCACAAAAACAAAATAAATTAAAAAATGATAAACATCATCATTGAGACTTTAAACAATTTTTAAGGAAAAGAGATGAGTCGGAAGTATCAATTATGATATTATATGTAGGTGGATTTTCGCATTTCTGACATGGAAGGTCAGAAATACAGCGGTTTCCCCGGTAACGGCTGTAAACAAATCAGCGCCGCTCATAAACGCTACTTTATCAGATAAAATGAAAATGTCACCGAAACATTTCTGAAGACAGTCGGTTCCCTTCATTCATTCATATAACAATTAGTGAATTAGTGAGAATGAGAAACATATAGCCTATATTGAGGAGGAAAATCCACTGATGAGTTACCAGCGTAAGCCTGTGTGCCAAAGGCTGTCTTATTCTAAACTTTAAAATACACTTATTTTAGTTATTTTAAGTACAAATTTAAATGAAAATGAAATAAAAATTAAATGGAAATTATACATTTACACACCTAAGGATTATATCAACCAAACAAGTAACTGCGTATGCGTACTCTACTTGGGTCCTTCTCATAAATGAGTAAGCGGCATTTAAAACAATAAACATATAATACGCACTGTTGCGCAATATTTAATTACAGCTTCAGATACATGATATTTAAATTTTCTACAAGCAGGATACATGAGAAGTGTGTTCAACTCGGACACGCAGACGGTTGTCGTGGTGATAAACACCGTAAAAAGCAACCGTTCGTGTGTCAGCGCGTAATGTGCATCTCGTATATGAAAAGCATTTTAGGAGGCCCTTGGCTTTTGGGGGCCCAAGGCAGTCGCCTTTGCCTAATGGGTAAATCCGCCTCTGCATGTCATTACAGGTGAAAGTTACACACTGAACTGCAAAGCTCTTGTTGGGAAGAACGACGGTGGAGAAACTTTCCTCTACTGGCTTAATGGCTTTAAATTTCTCGAACTGGACTACGACACAAGCATGTAAGTACATTTGCCATTCACTCTTCATGCATTCATACATCTATCCATACTAGGTGTTTCAACGACTAATCGACTAGTCGACTTTAATGCTCTGCCATGAGGCTTTAAACTTGACGTCGACTAGTCGCTGGTCCTATAGAGGGTGCAACAGTGTATCTGATTTAGAACGAGCAGAAATCTGTGAGAAATATAACGACCCAAAGACAAAAGAAGTGATAAAAAGCTGTTATAGGAGCAACAGCCATGTGGGCAGTGCTGTGTCATATGCCATAGCTGTGCACAAGGTGTTTGTCACAGCTCCAGACTTATTTGTTGTTTGTAAAGTCGACTTTAAAAAATCAGAAGTCGTTCAACCCCTAATCCATATATACATATATATCTATATATCTCTATATCTATCTACCTGTCTATCAATATATGTATATATGGTATTGTCCTCATTTGTAAGTCGCTTTGGATAAAAGCATCTGCTAAATGACTAAATGTAAATGTATATATATGTGTGTGTTGTCAAACGATTAATCGTGATTAATCGCATTCAAAATAAAAGTTTTTTTTACATGATATATGTATGTGTACAGCGTATATTTATTATGTATATATAAATACACACACATGTATATATCTAATTATATATATTAGAATTATATATGTATATATCTAAATTGTAATATATATTATATATATTTATAAATCATATAAATTATATGAATATACATATATGCATGTAAATACATGTAAATATTTTCAAAATATATACATGCATGTGCGTGTGTGTGTGTGTGTGTGTGTATTTATATATTCATAATAAATATACACAGCATGCACACATATATTATGTAAACAAAAACTTTTATTTTGGTTGTGATTAATCACAATTAATCGTTTGACAGCACTAACAGAGAGAGAGAAAGAGAGAGAGATATATCTTTTTTATGATGTCCAACCACTTTGCTTCTGCATGTCTCGTTTCATCAGTGTGAAAGAGGGAGAGCGGGACTACATGCTGTCTGTTCTTTACATCCCAGAAGTCACAGAAGAATATTTATACACTAATTTCACCTGTGTCGTTCAACACCCAGTAGGTTGGGATTTTGGAAAAGTCTTTCTTATTCCTGGTGAGCTCTAGTTCATCTTTTACTCTTGCACATTATTAGTTAAAGTCTCCTCTTTTCTAACCTGCTTTCTCGTCTTTCTCTCTCCAGCGAGTCAGAATGAGCGTTATTACTGGATCGGTCTTGGTCTGGTGGCTCTGCTCATATTACTGTGTGCCGTTGCGTTTCTCTTTAGAGTCGATCTGGTTCTGGCTTACAGGGCTGTTTGCTCGTCTGCTGCCATAAGCAGTGGTATGTTTTTATCTCGGATTCATTTATTTTAGTGACTGTTCTCTGTAGAGATGCTTTCAAGTAGATTGACTGCAATGACCATGTCAGTGGTTTAGTTTTAAGCGAACAAATTTCACTGTAAGTGCCTATAAATACTTATTCTTTCACAAAACAATTTCAAATGCACAAAACCATCACATTTAAAATTTAATAATTATTCATATTAAATATCATTATAAAATTTACATTCTATATTGTGTTATTATTTCTCAATGACAGTTATGAACATTTTAAATGTAAATTCTCATTATCGTAATGTATCTGAATGTTTTTTATTTATAATGTTTTACTTTAATACAGTATTTTTGCTTTAAGTCAGCCAAAATTAAACATAGTACAAAAAAATACTACTATAATTTGTTACAATTTCAATTAATTTTGAGATTATGAGAGTTTTAAATATATTATGAGAATGAAATGAACTGAAAGTAAAAATTCTTATCCTGCTCTTTAAAAATCTGCTCCTAAATTAGGCTTGTGCAAAAATAAATAATTATTATTTTTAATTATTATTTAAAAAATAATATTTAAAATTTAGAAATTATTATTAATTATTATTTTTTTGTAAAATATGACTTGGACATGTTTGGGCAATGTTTCCCAGCTTTAATGAATATTTGTAATTCTTTACAAAATCATCACATTAAAAAAAAGATTATGCAAACCTGCATGAATTGCATGATTTTATGATACAAGCATGTATCAGCTATTCACTGTAATCCAACAATGTGATGATTTTGTCAACAAACCAATTACACATATTTATCAAAGCTGGGAAACGTTGCCTAAACATGACCAAGTCAAATTTTACCTTAAAAAAAAAAATCAAGAGGTGACAACAACAGCATAGCACTGCTTGATTATCAGTATTTATTTTCATGATCATATAAAATAATTATACATATTTTATTTTTATGTTTACTTTTATTTTTTATTTAATTACAAATAATTAAATGGTGATCATTCTTGTTATATTTGTATTGTTAGATTTTATTGTTATTTTATTTTTGTGAGTGTCGATTATTCTCATGCTTTATTTAAGATGGCAAGTCGTACGATGCGTATGTGAGTTACCTTCATGGTGATCAGCACGGCTCAACTTCTGCAATGGCATTTGCATTGGATTTCCTTCCTGCGGTGCTGGAGGATCTTTACAGTTACAAGCTCTTTATCAGTGGTCGTGATGAACTTCCTGGGGAAGGTAAACATCCTGTCACATGATCACACTAACACAGCTCTAATGACACAAAGTAAAAACCTGTTCAAAAAATCAAGGCATGTTTGAATTAAATCACTGAAAAATCTTAATTTTAAAGATTTGATATTGTCTATGCAGCATAACTCTCCAAAAATATATACATATACATATACATCTATTTGAACTGCATATAAAATGTCTATGCATTTGTATTACACAGTTTTAACATAAACAAACTAATAAACTTAATGTGATGCAAATTTGTCAGTCATGCAGAAATGAAACAGGTCAGGTTTCTGTAATAGTAAATAAAACTAATAAACGGAATGTGTTTTAAATACAAAATAACCAGCTTTATATATTTATATCAATAAAACCCATTTGTTTCAATCTCATACATTTTAACTAATTAAATAGTTTTTCGCAACTAGCCATATTTTCATACTTTTTAACTGAATAAATGTTTTTTCCCCCATAGTGAACAGATTTATTAGTTTAAGCAATTTGAATAAATGCATTTTGATATGATTGCATATGATGAAATATTGATATGATGCATTTGAAAATATGATTATTTAAATAAAATAAAATCGATGCAAATTGTTAATAATAAACTGTGCCATGATTTCAAATGCAGAAATATTACATCTATGTTTGATAAATATGCATCATAATTAGAATCAGTTTTCTGTAATTTTTTTTTTTTTCATTTTTAGTATTTTTTGTTTCAAAAATATTCAGACACCTTCAACATTTCTCACATTATCACAGTTTATTCGCTATAGTTTAGAAAATGGTAATAAAATATGAGAGTTAAATATAATATAAGAGTTAAACTGTCAAAACAAATTAATCTTGATAATGTCAGATGACTTTGAGGTCAAAGTGTCAAATCAAATTTTTGGTCCCAAATTTTTATTAATTTTACTGTTAGTCCACTGTATGAAGAATTTTTGGGTATGTCACAGTTTACTTTATTTTGCTATCCTCACTTACTTAAATGAATTATAGTGTCCTGCACCCACTAGTAAAAAAATATAAAAAATTATAACTGGTGTCTGAATAATTTTTGGTTTGACTGTATATAAAAAAATTTTTTTTTTTAATTTTAAGTTAATAAATTAAGTTTCAGTTTTAGTTAACTATAATAATTACCCTGGTCTAATCCAAACGGATGGAAATTTTAAATGCAATTCAAATACCTGAATCTTCAGGCCTAAATATTTCCTTGACTATTTATTGTAGCACAATCATACTTAAAAACAAGCGTTTGACATTAATCACCTCTCTTTTTCAGCGGTGCACGAAGTCATTGCTGACAGAATGAGCCGAAGCAGAAGGCTGATCATTGTTCTTACATCGCAGAGCTGTGTGTCGCCTCAAACCGACGCCACTAAGAGCCTTTTACCAGATAAACTCCCCATATCAGACCGTGATGTGCATCTGAAAGCAACGAACACTTCCTCTGACCAAATATGGGCCGCTTACGAGCAGCGGGTGGGTCTCTATGACGCTTTAGTGAAGCAGGGTCTGAAAGTCATCCTGGTGCAGGTGGAGGACGGGGTTGAAGAGGCTCTGCTGCCCGAATCTTTGCGTTACATCAGCCGCACCAAAGGCATCCTCAAATGGAGGCAGAACGCCAGTGATCGGGGGAACAGAAGCTTCTGGAAACACATGCACTACCAAATGCCTCCAGCGAAGCGGCGGAAGAGCCAAGAGCTGACGGTGCTTTGAGATCTCTTTGACCACAGAAACATTCTACACAAGTACATGAACTCGTTATGAAGTGTGTGTATTGATAACACGACTCAAGTGTGCTGCAAGAAACACAAGAATGCACACTTACACTGAAAAAAGATACTACATTTTTTAAGGTATAGTGGTTGCAAACAATTTATTTTAGCTACATTTAAAAAAAAAAAGTTGTATGTTAGTCAACTAAATTTGTTTATTTAAATGTAGCTAAAATAAATTGATTGCAACCACTTAAAAAAAAAATTAGTAAAGTCAATTAATCTTTTTTTTTCAGCGTAGGGGCTGTTCACACAGAATGCGTTTTTCCACTCCAATGCGCTACTTTTCCATTGTTTTCTATGTAAACACGCTAGACAGTCGCGTACGACCATTGAGCACTGCATTTTTAAGACACTGTGTCAAGTTTCAACTTTTACACACAGCGCTGCTCATCAATGTCAGTTCCAAAACAGTGGACCAATCAGAAGACCCCGGAGGCGGGGCAAACGTGTCCAGGTTTTGTTTACAGTAGCAAGTTGGCATGGCAACTGTTTTATTTGACGGAACATGGCGGAGGAGGAATTCTGCGCTGCGCTTTTTAAAGTTCCCATGAAATCAAAATTGAAGTTTTTTTGGCTTTTAGTATGAACATTAGCCTTAACGTTATCTCTATAGCTAGTGTGCTCCAAAACAATGACAAAATTCTCATTTACAAGATATAAGCATTCAAAACTTGAAGTCCATCACTTCCGCCAATATGGATCAATGCTTTTGATGACATTACCCTGTACTTCAGCTTCCCATCAAACTTTCTGTCCAATCAAATGCTAGAATCTGAAGCATACCACCGCCTATAAATAGACGCTGAAGCTGTGAAGCTGAAATCGGTCACTTATTCAAAGATTTAGTATTTTCTGTGTGGTGAATGGGGATAGGGAAGGATTCAGGTGTAAATATGCTTTCCATTGGGGCAAAAAAAGTCTGGTTTCGCGCTGTTTCACGCTAACCGCTGCAGTGTGCACAGTCTGAAACGAAACGATAGCACAGAGCGGATCATACAGTATGTGCGAGTCGGCGCAGACCATAAAACATATCGGACCCATTTGAATTCTACACAGAATGTTATGTTTTATAGCAATATGGATGAGATTGTGGCTGTCATACACTGTCAAATGCGCCTTTACCAAGCTCAATGGCTCTAGCCCAAGCTGTGATATAAATTAACGCTATTGGCTATTTAAAAAAGGGGGCGGGGCTACTTGATATGTCCCGCCCTGTCTTCCTGTATCAGTTAAAATGACGTCAACACATTGAATAACACTGCACATTTCAAAGCACTTCAGTGGACCTTTAAAACCATTCCTGAGCACTGTGTCTTGCGTTTTTAGATGCAAAGATGCGTTCTGTGTGAACGGCCCTTTAGTATGTGAGCTTACGTTGCACGAGTTTGCGTATTTGTGTAGAGAAGGTTTGTTGCATTTGTGTGAAGAAACTTTGCCAAGTATCTTGTAACTGTAATGAAAAACTACAAAAGAAAGACAGGTGCAAGTTAGCAATAAAAATTCAAATAAATGTATATAGAAGTGTTTTTTCCAATAGAAGTCTTTTTTTAAATAATAATAAATAATATTTTTATATTATTTTGTTAATGCAGCATGTTGAACTAGTTTGTTTTTTATACTATTCTATTTTTTCCAGAATTATTTAATATATTAAAAATATTTCAAGCTTTTACAAGTGGCATTGTGACTACAGTTCATGTCAGATAAAATATTAATGTTTTTTTTAGAAGAAACAAATAAAAAATAAATAAAAACATTCACTGATTCATGTTTCATTGATTCATGTCGTAGCCTATAAAATAATGATTTATTACAGTGCATCTAATAAATATTTGTCAAATACGTCACTCTCATAAATTATAAATATTATGCACTGAAAAATGATCATTTTCACTCAGAAAAATTGCTAGTAATTTTCACAATTAATTACAATGAAATTGCCAAAACAACACATTGTGTATTTAAGCTGTCTATCTCCAGCAAAGCTTAATGACTATATTAGGACAATGTGCTTAATCATGCTAGCGATGTATTAAATCATGCTAGCGATGTGCTAAATCATACTAGCAACATGTTAATATATACTAAATCAAGCTAGCAACATGCTAATTCATGTTAACATGTTAAAACGTTGGCAATGTGTTAAGTCATGCTAGCAACATGGTAACTCTTGCTAGCAATGTGTTAAATCATGCTAACAACGTCAAAACTGGTTAACAATTTGCTAATTCATGTTAGCAACATGCAAAAACATGCTAGCAGTGTGTTAAATTAAACTACCGTCATGTTAATACATAAGCTACATGTGCTAACTCAAGCTAGCAACATGCTAATTCATGTTAGCAACATGTTAAATCATGTTTGCAATGTGCTAATTATGATAACATGTAAAACATGCTAGCAAAGTCTTAATTCATGTTAGCAACTTGTTAAAATACTAACAATGTGTTAAATCATATTAACAATATATTAAAACATGAGCTACATGTTAAATCATGCAAGCAACATGTTATACTTGCAATGTATATGCTAGCAAAATGCTTGAATATGGTAGCAATACGCTAATTCATGTTAACAATGTGTTAAAACATGTTAGCAATATGCAAAATCATGATAGCAATGTGTTAAAACATGTTAGCAATATGCTAAATCATGATAGCAATGTGCTACATGTTAGCAGCATGTTAAATCAAGCAACTTAAGCATTTTAGCAATGTGCTAGAACATTTTATTGACTTCAAGTAAAATCTTCAAACTTAAAGCTTTACAAATTTCTTGAAAACTTTCAAACTAGGCTTTGTCACGCTAACATCAACGTTTGTTTACAACGTTTACTCCTCTATATCTATAGTAGTCAACATTTGAAGTGGATCAAACCTTTTCATCCTAAAACCAAAATGCATTCTTTACTTAGGACAACTTTGATGAACTTTTTTGATCCACTTCTAATGTTGACTGCTCTATATTATCTATCTATGGTTGCTTGCAACTGAAAATGGTAAAAGAATAAGGTAAGAATAGGTTTGCAATTATTATTAATGTAACTATTTCATGTTTTGAGAGTAAGACATGAAATACTTTACTCAGCACTGAAGAGAAAACAGGAAGTTCTTGCTCTGCTTGTGTCTTATAGGCTACTGTATGTTGGTGGATTTTTCATCTTGCTTCATTTCCACATAAATTCATACGCGTGAGCTCTGAACATGTCATCATATGGCTGCGGTCAGCCACCTGAACTCAAATAATGAATGCAAATGACACATACATCTAATGGAACGTTTTTTCTAGAATGTCTGAGTATCTAATCGGTCTGATTTTATGAAAATAACTAGACTTTATGGTGCTAGAATATGTTGCTGCTAAAGCGAATTTGACCCGTTTTCATTCAGCACGTGTACATTTTGCGCTAAATGCGTCACTTAGTAAAATAACAACACACTCTCCTCACTAAAGCACGTGATTTGAGTCATTCGTGTCAAGTGGAGCTAATATTTTGTGATAAGTTATGCTAAAGTTAAGGTTATGGGTTTGTTCTGACCACTAACCTTGTAATTATGAGCGATAACAATAGTGATGCTTGCATTGTTTAATACATTTATGCATTTATTGTTATTTTTAAATTTAAATGTTTACATTTTGATTTAAAAAAGGTTCTTATTTTTATGTATCAGTATTTTTTATTTATGTATACATTAGTTACATATTTAATACATTTATGTATTTGTATTAATTTTAAATATTTTTTTTTTTCTTTATTTATACATTTTTATGTTTTTTTCATTAAAATATTTTTTTTGTGTATTTATTTATTTATTTATTTTTTTTAAGGGATTATTGAATTTGAAGCCCATATTGAAGCTTTGAATGCAATGTCATCTTGGATAAAAGCATCTGCCACATGCACAGATATTAATGTAATGAAAAGTATTTATTGATCTTGCTCCAAAAGGCTCAAAATGTAAACCTTTTTAACATTTTATGAACTTTAAACCAGTTAAAACTAGTTTGATCCCTTTAATCTCTTCTTACGATATCCTGTTTTCTAAGGTAGAAGGTCAAGAATGAGAGATAAAGTGGAGATTATCTGATAGAAGAGTTGAATAAATTGCGATACATCCTCTTTTATCTGCTCAACACTAGTTGAAAATAACTGAAATAACTTCAGTCGTCAACTTCACTTGAACTCATCCGGAGCCCATTACCGGTACCTCACTTTCTTTTCTTTTACAGTCACTAACATGGTGCTGAATTATGGTAAAATAGCTATAAACTGAAGTTTTACCCTTTAAAGTTTGAGATTAATTGCTTTACAGGGATGATGATGATGATGATGATGTTACAAATAATTTTGCTCCTGACTAAATCTGTTCTGGTGTATCTTCATATGAGCATATTTGTTTTAAAAATGTTAAGATTGATTGATTTCATTTGTTTAAAAAAAATAGATATTTGTGTTGTTGACAAATGGACAGATTTGAGGTTAAAACGAGATGCTTATATGTTGATGGTCGGCAAAGAAAAATTATTTTCTCAAAAAATAAACTGGTTGACCTCTTGATTTATTTATTTGCACTTTTTTATAGATATTAGGGTTGTTGACAAGTGGACAAGATTTTTCAGTAAAAGGAGATTCTGAGATGCTTTTAAAAAAAGTAAAACATTTTTGTCCAAAAATAAACTGATTTGATTTTTTTTTAAGTATTATTAAACTAAATCTTAATATGCATAATTTAGCTCTTGGCTGAATCTGATCTGATGTCTTCATATGAACTAAACTCATCAGCTAACTTCATATTAGCATATTTGTATATGTGTATGCTAAAAAAGTATATTTGGGTTCTTGATGAACGGACAGATTTTCGGTTAAGAGTAGATGCTGAGATACTTTCTAGTCTGGAAAAAAAAAAAACCTTTTTTTTCAAAATATTTATTTATTTATTTGAAGGGATTACTGAACTGAATATTCATAAGCTGATCGCTCATCATTTGATCTGATCAGTGATGTTATGCAAGAAGAATATCCTGCATGAAGTAGAATTTTACATTGACTAAAGCAGACGCAATGTATCAAATATAGATATGTGTATTTATGTATGTATGTA